AGGAAACAGGGATTTGAACATTACTGCTAGAGAAAATAAGGACGGGTAGTAGTACATCAGCTACTGCTACACATCTCCATGAAGAACATAGCTTCATAGGTTAAAGAGCAGGGTTTAAGGTAGCACATCAGTCTGTTTCGGTTAGGAAGCTGACACTCTTTGCAGTGGCATGGCTTTTACAAATCCTGCTATCAATATGGTATTTCAAGCATCTCTATAAATTTAATGCCTTGGCTTAGTTTGCTTCTATTTTCCCAATCTGCAGTACAACTACATTCCAGAAGACATAAATATACCTTAATCATGTAACGGTCAGCAGTGGAGCAGTGCAAAATGTATGCAGTGAGATTTTTAGCCCTGTGAAAGTCAGTGTGGCCAACTATAAAGACTGAACTTGACAGGTACAACTCGAACTTGACCCACTGGACTTTGATGCGGAAGTCACAGTTCACTTTTGAACACGTACTGTTTTCTTCAATTAAAAAAAAAAATACATGAACCACAAAGCTCCATACAGATTTGACATCAAATCAGACTGAAGAGAAACACGGCTTTGGTGCACACTTAACTCTAAGTCTGAACTCAAGTTTCAAATTAATGGCGGGCATTTTTTGGTAAAAGCTCAACTATAATTAACTGTATCAGCATTTTAAACATTACATCATTGATGTTTGTAAAGTGCTTCAAAAACTTCAGATGAAATCTCTCCAGGCATTTTCAAGGGGTAGTGGGAGGAGAAAAATTCCAGCCAGAGAAGAAATAAATTCCAACTCAAGCTATACAATGAAACTATTTTCTTCAAAATGAAGAAAAACATAGATCCAACACCCTCTATGTTAAGTGAAAAATTACGGTATTAAAATGAATCATACTATTTGGAACAACAAACATATTTCAGTAACTGGTCTGTTTGGATGAACATGAGTCTTGTTTAAAAGTTAATCTATTTGTATCTTCAGCAGGCAAACTGAATAAGTGCAATGAAATTAGCTCCAATGAAACCTAAAATAAAATCACTACTCTAAGCTGATTTAGCGAAATACCTTAGAAGTACTCCAGAAGAGAATAATGGAAAGTGTAGAAGCAGTGAATAATTTTCACATGTCCCTCCCATTTTAAAAATAACTCAATGGGTTCTTTTCATGCCCAACATACAGTAACAAAATAAGTTCCCAGACAAGATATCTGGAGGTCTCTTCCAACTATTTTACAATCTTTCAGAAAAAATACAAAATAATTTAGCCCTTTTCTACAATTATTACTTCGATCAGTAAGTGCAGACAGGAAATTTGAAATTTGTACACAGTCAAGAAAGGACGGGTCAATTACAGTATGTTAAGTTGTAATTACAGGTCAACAAAAAACACATGGCTTACATCTACAGTGGCATCTGCACACATAACAGAGTACAGTCAGATCTCCTGGAAGAACTACACTCCTATTGCTACACAGATACTCATAACATACACATGTAGACAGGTACACATTCATATGTATTTTTATACATTAACTTCTTTGAAGTGTAGAAACAGAATATACTATTTCATTTCATAGAGAAATAAGTTAATTAGCCAAGAACCAAAAAATAAACAGAACAGTATTCCAGACAGATGGTCCAGCACTTCTTAGGCAGATGGTTCTGCTAATTAGATACTGGCAAAAATAACATTAAAGAAGATGGTTTAATTACACAATGCCAAAAATTAACAACTACAAGACATTTCTTTTTTTTCTTTTTTTTTTTCTTTTTTCATTATCTGCTTGCTTTCATCTCTTATATTATGTATTTAAACAATACTCTGGGGAGTTGGGGTATAATGGCAATAACCACAATAATGTGTGTCAACAAACATGAGTAATATCGCCTTATTGCTCACATCAGTCCAGCAATGGAACGGCTTCAAAAAGTTGTGACTTGCTTGGCAAGGTCTTGCAGTCTGCCTAATTAGCTCTCAATGAACATGTATGCTGGAGTCCAAAAGTTGAGTTTAAAGAGGCCATAAAGAAAGTGTCAGGATCGTAAATGCAAAGAAAGAATGTAGCCACAGAGAAATGTACCAGCAAGACATTAGCAGCAAATTAGCAGCCGCAGAGTTAGTGGTGGTTTTGATGGTTACCAGAAATTTCAAGGCCTGCTTTTGTATAATGACATCCTTGCTTCCAGCAAATATGTAAAGCCACTTAAGAAAGATTTATACCTCTCTGTACTTCAGAGGAACCATTTTCCAGGCTTTCCAGAGAGTCATGACCCTTCATCCTTGCAGTCATTATTGCTGGAGCTCTCTATCTTGCCAATAGGCTCCTGACAAACAGTCAGCTTCAGAGAGCGATCACCTTCTGCTGAAAAACTAGAGTGAAATATTAAAAAGGGACTTCCCTTTAACACACCTTTCCTTTTTGGCTTACAAAAAGGGAAAGCTGGTTTCTGGGGACTACAGGCACCCTAGTTAGGCTTTCATATGAAGCGACGGGCCAGCAGCTCACACAAGAAGTTCAACAATGTATGGACAACTTTACTAACCAGACTTACATTCACTGCAGTATCTTCCCACGATTACTGCATGTAACAGCCAATTCTACTGGGAATAACATTATGTGTGTTTTCATTTGTTCAAAACCAGCTTTTACTGCTCATCCACAGTTTGAAAATTACAGTTTCTTATAAAGTAAGCAGCGTGAAATATATGAAAATAAACATTAGATCATGCTCAAATTTTCCCGGGTTTGGAATTCAATAAGAACTGAGATCCCCCGATAGATATATAATTTCATACTTAAACCAAGTAATATATGAAGCATTATATGGTTTCAAGGGGTTGATGTCAATTTTATTTCAGATTTACTGGCCTGAAGTATATAAAAAAGTGAGAAGTACATATCCTGCCAAATCATGAAGTAACCAAAGTTTTAATTAGTTTACTGTATTGACAGTGCAAATAAATAATTGTTAAAATTTTTCAGAATTAATATGATAAAATTAAAATAAAAAGTTAAGCATGTTAGAGAATGAAGGTTCACAAACTCTCAGTGTTGGACTATTCAACTGACTTAATGACACAAGACTGCCCAAGAGTGAGCTTTCACATATGCTACCTACCCATCCGCTTGTGCATTCCTTTATTGTCTTCTGCAAAGATTTCTAAATGTCATAAAAACATCAATTTGGTTTATTTTTAACAGAGGCTGGTTTATAGAGGAAAATATAGCTCCAACTTAGAAGTCAGCAACTCAAAACTTGCCTATGTTTGGAACTAGGTTTCTTCGTCCTGCTCCCAGAGACTTATTAAAAAAAAAAATCAAAACTGTGGCACTGTGACTTTCAAAGTTTTGAATGTTCCAATCTGGCATTTTGAGGCTTTTACAGTTTTTATGGACATTTAAAAACTGAATGTAGGATTGTGCTGAAGGGGCAAAACAACAAAATGTTCTTGCATTACCAATCTTGGCAGCCATTCAGCAGGTAGGAATGAGATTTCATAACATAATCTTAATGCACATTCTGAAATTATACTACATATAGTAAATTTAATGTATTGAATAAATTACATGTGAATCCTTTCAGATTTAACATCTGTGTTAGCACACTGAGTTTTAAAGCAATTCCTGCTTTTTGGCAAATAAGATTGATTTTAGTAGGCTCCAAGACCTTTTGAAAGCAACGTTCCATTTTATTTTTTTACAAACAGTGTTGTAAACTTCTAGGTCCTGACGAGAAATGTCAGGCTTCACTTTATTTCAAGGAAGCAAAAGGCACTTCAATGTAATGTCATATTCCTCAACCCCCTAGGTTAAATAACAGAGTAAGCAGATAAAAGAGTCAGCTGACACTGGAGCATCACAAAATGTTGGTTTAGACCTCGACTATAGGCAGGCAGAAGTTTATTTTCCTGTACACCTGCTCGTTGCTTTTTCAAATATGGAAATGGGACAGAAGGAGCAGGCACAGGAAGGTGTGCTGTCTTGCCCCATACTAACTTGCTGTTCAAGACAGCCATGTTAGCATGCGATGCGGGATTAAAAAAGCAGCCCAGCAATCAGCAATCCTTACCTTTGAGCCACAGACAGTGAAGGAAGGCATGACACTTCAGAAGACTGTGCAAATCAAAAACCTTCTTGAAATAATTTCAGAGAGGCACAGTCAACATACTATATCTTACCCCTGAGATGTCAAAGACAGCTGTACTATAGCTTCCAGATATGGCTCACAAAAATATATGAACCTGAGAGATATGGTGGAGGATGAAATTTATAACATCATCTAAGTCATACTGAATAACTGAGACTACAAAAAAGAAAGCTTTGTATTTCTAGATGTAAATATTCTACATGTAATTTTGTACACAATGTCTCTTTAGGAACAGAATTACAATTGTATCATCATTTGTCTTTTTTACTTATTCAAGTAACTTTGGCATTAGTCTTTAGTGACGACAGGCTTGATTCTGTTCATAGTAATACACGTCTACACTTCTAGAGAAAATATTACAGTGACTTTACTATAACTGATATTTAAAATAATAAAAATATTTTGAAAAATTAGCATAAAAATGGAATCTTAAAGACAACAAAGATTGCTGAAGGAACTTTAACATATATATGTTCATTCAATATGCAACCAAATCAAGGTAAGAAGATTTCAGACAAATGAAAGCAGAGAGAAAGAAGAATGTTAACAACAGAAGAAATGTAAGAACCACCAATTTTTTCAGCTTATCCAGTGAAAAGCCAGTGAAGAAATAAATGGTTCATCAACAGAGAGATACAAATATGAGATTTCCTACATACTTCTAGTTTAATTAATTGACCAGAAAGGTGATTTTGGAAAATCAAAATTATTTTTTCTTCTTGCCATTTAAGAATCACACATACGATATATAAGACATCTAGAAAGTGGATGAGGAAAATTGGAACACAGTAAGAAAAACATCACAAAATTTCCAAAATGTTGGCAAAAGAGTTAATGGCAACATGATTGACAGTTCACTTGGAAAAGAAGAAACAAAGTAATTTCTACTTCTGTTTTGTTTCCTTTAAAATAATTGGATTTAATTTAACAAACACCAAGATAATCTGAGGCGCAAAACAGCAAGAATATGGAGAAGAATAAAAAGTTAAGAGGCACATAAATGAGCATCATCAACACATAGATAATATTGTGAGCTGTGGAGAACAGGAAAAAAAGAACAGCAGACTGAGAAAAATTCTCATTAAACACAAAGAGCAAAAGATGCTTATTAAAACAGGAAATCTTGAACATATAGCTACTAGGAAAATCACTGGAGTGTAGCCGCACTGTTAAATTATACTGAAATCAAGGGTGAGAAAGAAAAACAGGAGAATCAGGTCTAAGGAGAGGATCTGCTCAGAATATGGAAAAGTCTTCAAGAGAACATGATGTACTCCAATTGCAGTGGAAAGAGCAGAAGGAACAAGAGGGCCACAATGCAACATTAAATTACAATTTCATCATTAAAGTTTGAGATAATGGTAAGGCTATGAAAAAGCCTGAATGTGAGTTCATTTTTCTCTTTTTTTGACACAAGTGAATGGTCTAGAGTAATGTCAATGACATACAGAGGTTTTCACCTCCAGTTTGTGTGTTAAACATCATTCAAATTATTAATTTTTGGTCAGTGACATCCAGTATTACGAGTATTAGCTATGTGAAATAAGTGGGTCATTTCTATCCAGATTCTAAAAGACAAATATTCAGATCCAAATGAGTTCTAATTGGTCATTTTTGCAGAGACAACAGAATGGCTGCTTAGAGGGATGGAAATACATCTATTTTATATAAAGGTGTTTACATCATGCCACGTTGACAAGGAATCTTGTTAAAGGAGTTACTGACACCATCATCATCATCTAATTCTAACAACTCATCTCCAACTTTTTCCCTCATATTTCCCCTCTCTGGTGACTTCATATTTTAGCGGACATAGGAAAGTTGCAGGAAGCTCTACTCAACCTTTAGACTTGGCCTAAGGATTCCAGCCAACGTGCTCCAAAGAAAACAGTGCACAAGATGTGATAAAGGGTAATAAGGTTTGTGTCCCATGTGTACTTGCAGTTAGAGAGTATGCTGCAGGTAAAACACTCCAGAGGCAGGGAATTTTATTTGACTCTTTATTGCCAACCATCACAAACCTCAGAATTGCTCTGGTAAAGACGGTAAGTCACTGAGTATGCTTTCAGTTTCCTCAGTGGATGATCTCTGCTACCAAACAACCGAATTCTTAATGGCAAAGAGACAAAAAAACCAATCATTCTTTCTAAAAATGTTTAAAGGATTAAATTGACAATCCATGATAAAGAGTGAGATTAATTTTTATAGATTTGATAAATTACTAATAGTTTTTTTCAATCTGCAAAATCTGTTATAAATGGTCATAAACATGTGAAAACACTAGGGATGGACCTATGTACTCTAATGTAACCTATTATCTGACAGATTGAGTAATTACTTATAACAATAGGTTGACAGTGTAACACAGTCAATTAAATCATTAATTAGACTGCCATATTTACGCAATGAAAATTAGTAAATAACTGACAGACATTCAGTATATGACTTTCTCCCTCAGTGATTATTTGCTGTGCACCTAAACTCACAATGCGACAGGTGAACCTCTGATGACTTTTGCAGAAAAGCTTTTGATCTAAAACTGAAATCAAGAGGGGAAAAACAACCACAATCTGGGTGATATGTTGCCTGATGTACAGACTGGGAATTCTGTATTTGTTATTACTGCATGATCCATTAGCATTAGAGGTTCACGAATAAAGAAAGAGAAAATAGTTCATAAACACTGTTGCCTAGCTAAATGTATCAGATGCCTTGTGAAGTTGTACTGATGAGACTCCTAGATTATTCTACAGTGATAGTAATTAGGCAGAAGTTTCTAATTGCATTCTTTCTCTGTGGTTCTTCAAGTGGAAAAATCACAAATATTTGTAAAATCCATCACACCTCCTCAAAGATCCATGCCTGTACTTCTAAATAATACGGTTGTCTTTGCTGGCACTTTTCTGGAAGATGCAGGGAGAAGCTAGCCATGGGAGAACCCACCAAGCAAGGCAAAAACACTGGTATCATAGATGAGACAGAACCTTGAAGAGCATCACCCATATCCATGAAAGAAACTGGAAGGTTGATAGACCCTTAAAACTAATGACAGAAGGCTCAAAACTCAATTTATACAAAGAAAGTCAAAGTAAAAGAGCCTTTAATGTTGTGAAAGTATCTGCTAAATTTCAGTGACACACAG